ATTAAACTATTAAATTTGAGATTAAAAATACTTAAGACCTAGCCCCGGAGCATCGCCCGGGTCTGAGAGCTAGTCGACAACAACGTTGTTGTTTCCTATACTATTGCGCGATTCTGTGTCACGCTGTCACGCTAAAATGTTTATTTATTTTAACAGAGGTCCCGCAAAGGACCCGAGTTACATAATATTAACAAACAAATTAACCCACCCGCCCTTATTAAAATTCTTAAAAACAGTTAACCCACCCACCTCTATTATTGTCCCTGTTAGTACTTCTAATACGAAATGTCGCACCTAAATGACTTCGTAATGAACCATGTGTACCAGTAAGACGCCTAATTAACCTATTGTTTCTAACCCAACTAGAACCACCAATTCTTCCCCCATTATCATCATCATCGGAATCTGTATTGCTATTAGCCTGCCACGCGTAATATCCTTTAAGCTTTAAATGTACACCAGAATCCGTAGCTTTCTTTACAGTTTCTCTAACCGCAGAAATTGAAATATTTCGACAATCAAATATCTCTACTTCCATAAAATTCACCCTGTTATCATTCAATATTAAAGAAAGGTTATGTAAAACTGCATCGGTTAGCAACTGACAATGATCAAGATCAATACGAGATATCTTTGTGCATTGTTGTAAAAGTGTAATTACTCCATCATCTGTAATTAGTTCACAATAACTTAAACAGATCTTTTTAAGATCTGAAAGATGAGCAGCGAATGATTGAAGAACCTCATCGTTAATGCACGGACAATCCTCTAAATCAATCACCTCAAGTTTTGTACATTTAGAAGCAATATATATGAAACCGTTATCAGTGAAATTTGTACATTCGTGAACTTCTAAATGTGATAGTTCCGGACATGAATTTCCTAGTTCTTTTAAAGTTTCATCGGTTAAAAGTTGATTGTTGGATAAATCTATATGAGTTAAAGGAGATGGTGATGGTTGATTCTTGAGTAGAATGGAAATATGATCGTCATTTAATGTTGGACATGATTCCATTGATAAAATTTTAAGATTTGGTAATAAAGCTATTTTCGTCATCATTTGATCCGAAATTTTTGAAAGACCATTAATTTTTAAGCATTCCAATTCTTGACATCCTTTTACCAAATATTCTATTCCCACAGAATTTATTTGTTGACACCAATTAAGATTAATATGCTTCAATCTTTTACATTTTCTGGAAAGTGTTCGGCATATCAAATTCGTTATGATAACTAATCCAGATAAATCCAATACCTCAAGGTTATCAAGGCGTGAAAGTAGAATGTTAATGGAATCATTATCAAGGAAGCGACAACCGAGAAGTTTAAGAGTATGGATGTTTGGACAACAAGGCGCCAATTCTTTTAGATGATATGCTGAAAGTTGGACACACCCTCTATGCAAAAAAAAAATATTATTAAGGAATAACATATTATTGTCCCTTATTAAGTAAGTATAAGTATATAAATTTATCTACTTTATCCAGAAATTATGTCATCAAATTTCTATTGATTCTATCTCAAATAGATAAAATATATTAAAATTAACAATGGGAAAATCATACCGAAAATCTGCAACTTTCAAAAAACCTCCTGCTGCTTTACTTAATCGAAGAATTTGATCTGCAGTTATCGTTCGATGAAAATCTTTCAAATTTATTTCCGACCATAATGAACCGTCATAAGCAAGTTTATGCCAACCATGACAAACCTTTAAAATAGAAAACTTTGAATAATTCATTTAAATTAAATTATTTAGTATAAATAATTTTTTTTATTCATTACTTACTAGAGATACCTTAACGATTTCATCTATTTCCAAACATTTGAAAATTTTAATTTTAATTTCCAAAGGGATTTTTTCAAAATGACAGATTTTATCTTTTTTCGGAGAGTGCTCTGATATGTTATCGTTTTCGCAAAGGAATGAATCATGTTCGTCGATTTCCTTCACTTTTCTTTTAATATCTTCGAATAATACAACTGCTGAATCCATTTTTTTAGAAGTTACAGAGGAGGAACGACGACCATAATTTTTTAATTGACGCATTTCCAATAAAAAAAAAAATTTTAAATTATGATTGACAAAAAAATGACGCTGACTCTAAGAATGACACATTAAATAACATAGATGACATGAGATCAGTTGATCGCTATTCCTTATGAAATTGTATCATGCAAGAGTCATACGGCCTTTGTTTAATAATTAATCCTTTTATAGTTTAGGGTCCAACTTTCGCCACAAATTCATACGCATATATGTTGCTCGATCATTTGCCACTTACGTATTAAAACGGTAACAATGTGTTGATCATAACATGTATATCAATTATCATATCACAGTGTATCGTTTTATTACTAAATGCT